CTAATATTAATATATAAAAATAATATTATATATTAATTATATAACTTATATTATATAAATATACAATATCTATATTAGTATATTACTACTATAGTATATTAATATATTATTATTATTATTTTATTATATATTATAATTTATAAAATTTAATGTTTTAAAATATAATAAATTTTTTATATATAATTATTTTATATTATTTTATATTTCAAACAATAACGATTCGAACACGAACGAACGCATCACTGTTCGTGTTTGATTCGTTTAACTAACCGAACGAAAAAAATTTGTTCGTGTTTGTCTCGTTTACTTATCGAACGAATCGAACACGAACTCATTGACGAACCGAACACGAACTGTTCGCGAACAACGGGCCTTTTTGACAGCCCTACTTCTCATATTACCCAAGCAACCAAATCAAAGATCTAGACCAGCTTAGTTGATATGCATGAATCAACCCTTAAAAAAAAAATCATTGCAGTAGCTTTCATGGTTAATATTAAATAGTAAGGGAAGATGACCATAAAGCAGTGACAACAACGCTAATTACTCCAATATTGCCTCAAGAATCTTATCCGTTATAGTTAAATATTTTGCAATAAGGACAACGATGTTACTGAGTGTGTAAGTGAGGAAAAGAAGCTACCTCTTGGCGCAAACCAAAATGAATGCAAGAATAAACCCAGAAAAGCTTCTGTAACGCCTTCTTCTATCAAAGCTTCCACCTGGATAAAAAGAAACCCAAAAAAAAACAAAAAAAGCCACAAAAATCCAGCAGCACTTCCCCCTTTAAAATTTTCGGCCCCGAAAACTCCATAATTTTTTTTATTTTTCCACCGTTGGAGGGCTGTTCGGTCGAGAGGAACTCGAGGAGAGCCGCGTGCTGAATCGGCAGCGGAATGCCGCGTGTGAGGGAAGAGGAAGATGATTTCAGCAGCCAGGGGTTCGATCGTCGAGCTCGACTGCGGCCGATCGCGGGAGAAGAGGCGCGTGCGAAAGCTAGGGCTCCGCCCGAGCGGCTCTCGGTCGAAGAAGGAAAAAGAATGCCGCGGGATTGAGTCGAATGCGGGGCCGAAATGTTTGGTTAAGGGAGCGGGTGAGAACCTAAATAAAATTTAGGTTTAATATGAATATGATTTAATATTTTGAAAAATAAAATTTTAATTTGTGTTTCACCCACGCATCAAAACGTAGCAAAATTGATATCATTTTTGCTTAATTCTGACGTTCCGGACGTGCTGGCGCGGTTTGTTTCGCCGTCGGAAGTCGTTTTGACGAATTCATCGATTTGCGTGCCAATTTTCTCGTGTCGAAAATATGGCAATATGGATGTCCTTTCCTACCAAAATTGGTATCCCGGACGCGTTGGCGCAGTCCAATTTGTCGTCGGAGGTCATCCGGAGAAGTTCACATTTTCGCCCGTCCTTTGGGCTTAATTGAAGTCTGATTTCGTGCAATGTCGTGAATTTTGTGTATTTGATGTGTGTATGTGACGAAAAAGGTCGTGACGATGTCTTCCTAAGGCTTGAAGTCCTATTGGGAACTTTTCCTCTGCGTTTTCACAAAATAGTCCATAACCGCTCATTCATAAGACGATAGTCTTGTGCCATAAATGTTAGACATCAAAGAAAAATAAGAAGTGGCTGGAATTTCTAAAAGGGTGAGTCTCAATTCTAGTTTTCTAGGATGGTCAGTATGAAATTTCTAGAGCTAGAATCTAGGCTCTAAGGAGGAGAAGACAAGGCCTCACAAAAATGAGTTCAACACTTATCATGATCCACGAACTATGTGTAACGGTCTCCGCTCCCCTACAATTGTTCTGTGATAACAAGACAACCATTAGCATTGCTCACAGGCTTATCCGACTTGATCGCACGAAGCATGTTAAGATTGACCGACACTTCATTAAGGAAAAGTTCGAGTTTGTGGAGATTTGTGTTCCATTTGTGTTATTTAGTGGCCAACTGGCTGATATTCTCACGAAGAACCTTCCTCGATCACTGTTCGGCGATTTTAATTCCATGTTAAACATGATTGACATCTATGCTTCTACTTGAGGGGGAGTATTAGAATATTTATTAATAGCTAGTTTTAGCCATTATTAGTTCTTGTTTGTTCTGAGTTATTAGCTTGAATTCTTTATTATTTGTTTCATTTTCTATTATATCCTGTTTTTATTTATTTCCTTTGTAATGGAGATTGTGTAATGGACATTTATACTTCTATTTACATCAATAAGATTTACCCTGGATTTTTTTCTAACAGTTTCTTATCATTTATTTCTATTTTATATTGCTTTTGTTATTCATATTTCTTGAAAAAAAGCTGTTTTCTTGGAGAGTTAGCTACCAAGCCGAAATTACTTATCGCCTTTGTATCTCAATCAAAATTTCTAATTTTATATTTAGATTTGTATTAAAAATTCTAGATCATAGAATGTCATGTATCATTATTATCTACCTTGATTTTTTTCTGGACTCTTTGCTTATTAACTGGACATTTCAGTTAATAATTTTGCATGTTTTTGGCTGTGATTTCTTTTTTCTAAAGACATATCTACATAAATATGAATTTTCATGTCTGTCATTATTATCATATCTCTAGATATTTGGTTCCCCTGGTCCTCTTTGTTTTCACCCTGATCTTTATCTTTCTTTCGTTCTACCCTTTTTGTTTATTTACTGTTGTTATTTCTTCATCTTCTGTCCTCGTTTCAAATTGAAGTTTTTTATGGATCCGTTATTTCAATGTTCTTTCTTATCTCAAGAATAATTGCATTAAACATTCATCAATTAGATTTTATTAATGATTTTACTGTGATTCTTTGTTAAATCATTCCTTTATCTTTTATATTCTGATACAAATCAGTTTAAATTTCATTTCCTATACATTGGAGCAATATAAAATTTTTCACTTTTCTATTACTCTCAGACATTGCCTTTGTAGTAAATAACTTAACAAGAAATTCTCATTCATGTTTTTGATGTTGTAGGGCATAATAACCTTGGAGATAAGCAAGAACGCTCCGCTTCCTGTGGTACTTGAGATGAGCCAGGGTTGTTCAGAATCTGATGCATGGCTTCTTTTAAAGAGATTGAAGAGCTTCACTTTTAGGAATCCACAATGTCGCTCTACAGAGCCTATTGTTCTTTCACCATGATGGATAATGTGCCTAAACGGGGCCGAAGGCTGTTTGTGGAATGGGGATGAGATCAAAATTTTCTTGGGCCTGTTTACTTCGATTATATTCGTGTGCCAAGGGATGGGAGCTCCGTTCATGTTTTGAACCTCTTTTTATGGGATTTGCTTTACAGTTTTACTTCTTTTTACCCCCATACCATCCCCTCTTTTTGCTTGCTTCCTGCGCATTGCAGATGCGCAGCCTAACTGTTGAGCCACATGGAGAAGTTTATTCATGGACTGGTACAGAGGTCTCTGACGAATATAAACTAGGTGCTCATGTGCATCTTTAGCTGATTAATGAGGGTGAGCTATTGCAATACTTCTGATTAACTTTTACCTGCATTTTTATTTTGGGTAGTTGAAGCATAAATCTTGAAAGTTCCAGTTTCTATCCCACAGTATACCTTTCATGTTGAAAGTTTCCTTTTGTTTTTGCTATTAATTTTACCTAATTAGCAAGTGATTTAAGGTCTTTCAAAATTGTTTCCCGAGAAACTTGTTTCCATTTCTGCAAATACTCATCAATGCTAAGAATATACTCAGTTAGATGTTTTTAAAATTTATGTTTTTAAAATGTATGCATTTTTAAAGTGCAGAGTAATTGAAATGCACCTATTTAAGAATTTTGATGGATTGTTTGGTTGGATACAAATCAATTGCACTGTAAAAGCTTTACGTGTGGGACTTGCATTCGTTAGTTCCTCTGTTGATGGGGTTCCCATCCGGTGACTAGCCTAACCGCAGGTTCTCCTTATTAGCTCTCTTGTGCTGTGTTATACTCTGACTCAATATTTGGAGAGATTTCAACCTTGTGAAATACTTTGCAGCCTATTGTTTTGTTATAAAATCGAGGGGACTACATTTAGAATTTAGGTATGTTGAAAACTTTAAGGTTTGTTTGGGATCACTTTTGTTTTTGTCTTTATTTTTATTTTAAAATCATATTTATTTAGTGCATTTTTTTCTTGTTATTATTTATGTATTTTTGAAAATAAATTAATTTATTTTTAAGAACAAAAGAAAAAAAGTGATCTCAAATTACTCCTTACTGTTCAATTTGAGGAAAACGGAATGCAAAATGTCATTGAATTCCAACTTCAGTTTTTTAATTCATTTTTTTTGTGTGTTTTCTAAACTCGCTTAGATTTGTTCAAGTTTAGAAAATTGGAGAGATTCAAACCTTGTGAAATACTTAGCAGCTTATTGTTTTGTTATAAAATCGAGGGGATTACATTTAGAATTTAGGTATTTTGAAAAACTTTAGGGTGATCACTTTTACTTTTATTTTTGCTTTTATTTTAAAAACATGTTTATTTAGTACATTTTTTGCTTGTTATTTTTTATGTATTTTTGAAAACAAATTAATTTGTTTTTAAGAACAAAAGAAAAAAGTGATTCCAAATAACTCCCTTGTGTTCAATTTGAGGAAAGCGGAAAGCAAAATTTCATTGAATTCCAAATTCAGTTTTTTAATTCATTTTTTTCGTGTATTCTAAACTCGCTTAGATTTGTTCAAGTTTAGAATACATTGCAAGCTCTGAATGTTGCTGCTTGGTACTAGCCACCATTATTGTTCGCCCCCACTAGATGTCAGGTTTTATATTATTTTCATTTTACATAAAATCAGATACAAAAAACAAAACTCTTGCAGTTGTTTTGCACATGGTTTGTTGAAAATGTGATGCAGTGTAAAATGAATGCAAAATATGAGTAATGTATTGTATGTGAAATACTTTAGAGTTAGTTGGTTCGTTGCAAAATAAATAAAGAACTTTATTTTTTTTATTATTTGGTTCGAAGTAAAATAAAACTAATGTATTTCAAAGTAATGCATTTGTCGTTGGTTGCGAATGGCAACATTGGTTGATGGCGGAGGTGATCAGCGATGATGACTACTGGCAGTTGTTGACCTCTTTTTCAGCGAGGTCTTGGTTTCCTTCTCCTAGAGTCTAGGATCTGACTTTAAGATTTTCCTATTGATTATCATAGAGGACTAGTAATGGAACTCACCTTATATAGAACTTCAAACCATTTCTTGGCCCATTTTTATGGATACCTTACATGAGTGGTCCCAAGCATTCAACTTTTAATTGTAAAGACTAAGGACCAACATGTGGAGGGTCTAAAAATGAGTTTCCATAGGATCATGAGGCCTTCGGTAAACCCTTTGTGGCTCGGTTATGCAAACACCACAATGCACACATTCAAGTGCATATGCGTAACAATTCACATCACTGACACACACACATTGCATCGTCAATTAAACCAAAATCAATTTTCAAAATATTATGTCACGAACCCAAAATCCAAAAAAAAAAGTAAAATTTGATGCATTTTGATCTGATCGTTGGCGAACTTGTCTGGACGACCCTGGATGATGAAACGGGTCTCTCGGGCGCGTCCGGAACATCGACTTTAGCTAGGAAAGACACTCATATTGCTATGGTTCTGCGTGCAAACAAACGACACAAAAATCGATGCGTATAAACATTTAATTACGGGATGCGGGTTAAGGTTCTTCCCGGGCTTGATTCGAGCTGAATACAGGCTAATTAACTCGATTTACACGATTTGTAATTTAAAATTTTGAATTTCAAATAAACCGCCCAATCCCACTTTAATGGAGTTTAATTAGGAGCTATTATTTACCAAATAAAATCCCTCTGCAAATGGAAATTCATCAGTTGCCCGCCTAGTGCCCTATAATAGACACCTTGAAAGTGCTGCTATAGGATTTGGTTGGGTTGCTTCTCCCTCTCATGACGAGACTCGACCCTCCCCTTCCTCTTGACAGAAGCCCTGCACCGAAACCCTCTCTCGCCTCATTCGGCCTCCTCCCCTCTGCACCGAAAACCCCATTCACCTCTCCCTTCCCTACATCGAAACCCTCGCCTGCTTCGCCCCCCCCCCTCCCCTCTTTGCCAAATAAAATCCCTTTGCAAATGGAAATTCATCAATTGGCCGCCTAGTGCCCTGTTACAGACACTTTGAAAGTGCTGCTATAGGTTTTGGTTGGGTTGCTTCTTCTCGGCATTTGACTCCTTGTCACGACGAGACTCGACCCTCCCCTTTCTCTTGACAGAAGCCCTGCATCGAAACCCTCTCTCGCTCCATTTGGTCTGCTCCCCTCTGCACCGAAAGCCCCATTCACCTCTCCCTTCCCTGCATTGAAAGAAATAATTTACATACTCGTATGAAAACTATACATGTCTACACATAATCACAACATGTTAGCTGTCGGTCAACTTTTTCGATAGATTTGAAAATATGAATATGAAAATAATTTTTGAAATTTAATTTAAGTATAAGAGGTATATAATTTAGGTTTTGACAGTAGTATGTTTTAATTTTTTGAAAAATGAGGCCAAATGGATCTCATTCGTCCAATAATTTGCATAATCGTGTCTGACACCCTGAATATTACACCTTCCAAGAGAAAAGTGTAGACCCCGATAATAGGCTCAATCCTGCAAACTAAGAAATTTGTGACATCCATTTAGTTTGCGAATCTTTTATATATGACCGACAAATTCCCCTATTTAATACAAAGATTAAATAGGATTTATTTTACCTGGGTTCCAAGTTCCCTACAGAGGCAAACCCCTATAGTTAATTACATCCCAAGTGACGGGAATTATTTGAGAAAACTCTCGATAATGATCAGTGGTTCTAGTCTTCAAGAATTCAAAGTTCAGGTTTTCAAGGTAGGACGTAGAAAAGCAAGTGAGAGTGGCTCAAATAGGAACAGTTATTTCAGGAGTCCAAACGAAGGAACAGGTAGGGGATGTTATAGATCCTGAGGAGAAACATCAATGACATCTCAGACTATCCTACGGTGTGGCTAAATTTTTGGAGACATTGCATAATAACTGGTTATGCAAATAGCCCACAAAGATAAGAGGTTTTACGTCGTTCTGGATGACAACCTCGGAACCTAAGGTGAATTAGGACTTACTGCACAACATAGTTGTGCAGGGGCCTAAAAGAGGGTGTGGATTTACGTCACGCTCGGCTGTTGTAGAATGACGACCACCTCCATAGTTGTGGAGTAGATACCTATGGGTTGTTTAAACAAGGAAAGTTTAGTTGGTGTAGACTCGTTTTGCTGTTGTAGAATGACGACCACCTCCACCTGTAGTTCGCTCCAAACTTCTTGTCGTGCTGCCCACGAAGTTGCTCCGAGCTCCTCGTCGCAGTAACAGTCCTAAAGTCTAAAGCTTAAACAGTTTTACCAGGTAGGTTTCAATATCTCAATTTGGTTGTCATTGGGGAGGTTCAAGTTGATTAGAGCGATACCAGTTAGGATCCCACGGTTCCCTCCTTCCGGCATCACTATTTTCTTTTGAACTTACTTAGTTTAAACGAGTTGTGAAACCCATTTAAACCGGGGAGATCTCGTTAGCAATCGTGGGTTACCTCCTCCGAGGGACTCACGTAAGTTCGAAAGAACGTGTTATGTTTTGTTTTTTTTTTTGAAAAATCATTTTATTTTGAAAGTGAGATTGTATTCAGTACCTGCATAATGTGTTAGAGCAAGAGTAATTGCAATAAAGAAGCAACAACAAATAAAATGTACCTGCGTACGTGGCGTATTTGCTGCTGATATTCTTGTTGCATGTTTAACTCACAAAGCACAACATAATTTGCAAGGATTTTAAATAAATTGCAAAGAAAAGAAAACAGTAAACAGTAGAATAAGTTGTAGTAACGGCTAGGAATTCCAAAAGGGGTGATCCTAGGGCCTCCTACAACTCCTGACTGCAACTAGCGAGCTATTATGGTGATTCTACGATCTCCTACGGCTCCGATAAGCAACTAGCGAATGTGTACGGCGATCCTACGACTCTAGACAACAGCTAGGAATTTCGAATAGCACCTGTATGAGTTCCTATGAACCCAAACAACAATGGGCAACACCTATGCGGCTTCCTACGAATCCGAACAGAGGTGGGCAGCAACTAGATGGCTTCCAAATGAACCCAAATCGTGATGGACAGCTCCTAGGTGGCTTCCTACGAATCCAAATAGTGGCGGGCAGCATCTAGACGGTTTCCTATGACACTGGGCAGCAAATAGAAGCATTGGACAACGGTCCTACAGCTCTTACAGCTCGGGGCAGCAGTTAGAAGCATTGGACAGCACCCTACGGCGCTTCCTAACATCATTTAAATGGAACACAAAATCCTCCAAAACAATGATAAACCATCCCGAAACGGTATATTAAAAGACTCCTAAAAAACTGCAGCGAAACATCCTCCGAATCACCTCAAACAGCTAACATGTATTTAGAATAGCTGAAAATA